ACAAGTTATTTGCTCTGAAAACCCCTTTATTTCCGTTTCCGGTTTAGAAGCACCAAATTAGTAATTTAATTCTATAATAATGTTGATACTTCTTTTAATTTTTATTTTTCTCCTAGATGTATGCAATGATCTCATGTTATAATATTAAAAGAAAATGTGTTATTTTGCATCTAAAAATATTTAAAAGACGTTTGTGGAACACTAGATGTGTTCTAAATTTATTTTAAGTGTCACTTGCTAATCTGTCTTTATAAAGATACTTAGTTAAGTGATTCTTTGAATTATTTTATGATTTATAATGTATATGTGAATGTTTTAAATCTTGTGTGGTATAATATGTTATCCATTTCAATAAATCATTTATAATCTTACAGATATTGAAGACAATTACTGCCACATTCCTTTTATACAGGAATTGCGGTGATTGTTGCGATTATATATTAAAATGAAATACTATCATGAATATAAAAATCCTGTTATATAGGAGTAAAAATTAAGCCATACAGATTTAAAAGTTGCACATATTACGATTGTTGTTAATATAAAAATCTTAAAGTTATCTATCACATATAAATATGCGTAACATCTTGTCTCAATTTTTGTTTATGGGTTTGTCTAGTTGAAAGTGACAGGTATTCAATTAAAATGTTAAAATATTAACTAATATATAAACTTTTGAAAAAATTTTTGATTTTCTCTCGTATCACAGAAAACTTATTATTTATCATTAATTCTGCGACATTTTAAATGATTTTCTAAGTGTAATACATTGTACTCTATTACAATCTTCTTAATATACCCTTATATATTTACGTATTATGGAAATATGCACATATATGTATATACAGAAATCATGTAATATTAATTTTTAATTCATAAAATTCTATTTAGAAAAGACGCGAATTTTTAAATTATAAAAATAGATTGTAATTTACATAAGAGCAGAAATATTTCTATATATTTTTTTTTTTCGTTATTAAAAATAATAAATTAATTACGTTTTTCCTTTTTATTTCTGTTTTTTTCTTTTACACGTGTACCAAACACATTCACCCATAATTATATATATAAATACTCTATGTATACGAATATAATTTAACCCACAAATTATATACCTTTCAAATTTTACAATAACAAATTCTCTATATATGTAGCTATACTTGTAAATATGTTAATATATATATATATATATTTGCGAGTTAATATTGTAGTACAAACATACATATTGACATATTTGACATACTTTTTAGATGACTTATAATATTTTGAATGTGTATGTATGTGTTAAAATGAAAAATTTTTTTAATGAATGAAATTTTAAAATTAGAAAAATAACAAGAAAAAAATTTTTACACAAAACTTTAGTCATTGAATTTAAAATGTAATTTTTTTGTTTTTTTTTCTCTATTTTACTTTTTGTTACGTCGTAGAACCGACTGAACATATCTACTACGTACATAATGTGCTATTGTATATATATAAATATGGTAGTGTAAATACATTTGTAATAAAAATGTATTATTAATTATATAGTATATAATTTTGTATATAAAGAGTATATTATGTATAAAAACAAACATAAGTGACTACTCACTGAAACCAAAAGCAGAATGATATTACGGTTTACGACTATCAATGAGTACAAAAAAAAAAAACACGAGAAGAGCAAAAAAAAAAAAAAAAAAAAAAAAAACACAACACTTACATGATAAAGAGCTTTTTTTTTTTTTACATTAAGATTCGTTTACATTGTAATTTTTGAATGAATTATTTTTTTCCCTTTTTTTTTTTTTTTATTTTATTCTTTGTAAATTTAACAAAATTGTTGTATAAACAATTAATCATATGCAAAGAGAAAATTATCCATTTGTATTACAAAATTTTTTTTAAATTAATTTTTACTAAAATAATTATACACCTATACTCAAAATTTGGAACATTTAAGTGTAATATAATATTAGGCAGATATGCGTATACATAATAAATGTGAGTAGCAATTTCGCTATGCTCCCATAATTGTGATAAAATAAAGGTGTTTTTTGTGTTATTCAAAAAAATCTCTGAAAAATCATTAAAAATTGTTTGACAGTTTTTTGACATATAAACCCTCTTGAAAACAAAATACGAAAAAAAAACTGAATTGACAACTCAAATCTAAACTTATTCTACTGTTATAATACTGTTATGTACATATTATATATATAAAATATATACATATTATTAAAGTATATTATGATCGTAAATATTTAATTTTTTAATTTTCAATTAATAGAGAACACAAGTTCGTGTGTATTGTGACTTATTAGATTATGTAATACTTGTTAGTTCTAAACATTAACATTAAATTCTAAAACCCAAGTCTCTTGTGTACCCAAAAAGAATGATCTAGAATTATATATTGAGAATATGTTTTATATTAATAAATACTATAGCATATGTATATAAAAAGTTTTTTTAAATATTTAAGATTTATATTTTGACAACTGACATTAACTTTGACATTTCCATTTCTAAATTAAAACTTTAAAGTCTTCTATTACAAGAAATTTTTTAAAATTATTTTTCAACTCTCTTTTGCTTGAAATATCGTAAATTATTATACGTTTACGATATACGCGATTATGAATAAAAATAATCACTAACATAATATTCACTACACCTAATATTCTTCTTGTTTAAACACCAAACATTTTTGTACATTTTGTAGTTGAATGTAAAAAATCTCACTCACAAAAGAAATGAAATACTGAGGAATCGTATAGTCACGGCAACCAGATTTCGATCTATCAAACTTTACAATTTGATTGGATTCATCAGACAGAAGGTGGTGAATCTCAAAGTATAATTATTCAATATTAATTAATAGTTTAAACAAATATTTGCAACACAGTATGTTACGAAAATATTATTCCATATATGTATAATAATACTAACACCGATTTTAATGATTAAATAAATTAAATATTTAAAATAATATAAATAGAAGAAAAAAAAAAGTAGAAAAACAAAAAATTTTATTTTGAATCAAAATTGAAAATATGATTGGAATTCGATTGGAATTTTATTATTTTTAATTTTTTTTTCTGCTGTCATTATTATTCATCTAATTCTCTCTACATATATATATTTTCTAACACCAACTACCCACACTTTAATAATATTTTTTACGATCGAGGTTAAAATGGAAATAATTTAAAAGTTAGAAAGTTATTTTGATTATATAAACTTGAATTGACACATTCATATATGGTCACATTTGTATTTATATATTAAAAAATATAAAATACATACACATTTATTTATCAGGTATTGCATTATAAATATACAGTAGCTGTCAGAAATAATTTAAAAAAACAAAATAAAAATATTATAATTGTCATCCCTTTCAGCTATTTTGTCACTTTTGTAACAAATTATTCGTGACCTCTGTCAACTAACTATTGTGAATAATATATTTTGTGGCATGCATTTTAAAAAAAAAATTCTGTCACTCTTTCTATATCAATTTTTATGACAAATGAAATTAATGTATATAATATATTTAATGGTTTAGAGATTGTACATTATTTACGGATTTTGTCTGATGAGAATTTTAATGAACCGTACCATTTTTTACACAAAATTTTCAAAGATCCAACCGAATTCATGAACAATATATAATTAATATTAAAAAATTAATGCAATTATTTAATTTAACAAATTTTTACCCCAACTAATAATTACTACATCTACCGGTCAAAATTCGTAAATTTTTTTACAATAGTGTTAATTATGAAGTAGTTTTACTGTAAATTATCTTAATTAAATCAAAATGGTAGGATTTTATTATTTTATTTTTTCATTAATAAAACGCAGTTATGTGTTTATTTTTAATATAGTAGTTAATGAATGTGGGGAGTTTTGTTGTTATTTTTCGGTTTTTCTATATTAAAATATAAGAAAAACAAAATAAAAATTTAAAGGTTACAATTAAATGCGCATATATATGAACATTATTATATGTATACGAGTATAATGCAATAAAATATACAAACGTTCGTACATTAAAATCAATAAACTTGAAAAAAATTTTTTAGTTTTATGAATGAAAAATTGCATTTTTTTTTCTTATTATTCTTTTTTATGAATTGTAATAGTATTTTTTTTCTTGTGCTTATTATTATTAACATTAAATTCATTGAAAATTCGTGAAGTGATCTAATGATTAAAGAATCTCATTTATAATAAAAAAAATTATTATTTTGAATTTTTAATTACATTTTGCTATTATAGTAAACGTAAATATTTTTATATTCACAATAATTAATATGCAATATATATATATACATATATATACATACCTATGTTGTATATTATTCAAGTATGTACAAAAAATTTTTAAAGTAGGCTGTGAGTAGAGTGTAGTAATTTTATATAATTTTGGTAACTTTATTAAAAAACGCAGGTGGGATGTTCATTAATAATTTTTGATTTTAAATTTCATAAAAATTTTTTAATATAGGTAAATTTTTTTGTATTAATTACGAAATTTATTAGGTGATTAATTTTTGAAATTTTAATTTTCATCATTTCTAAAATGTTTTTTATTACCACGTTTATTTTAAGCCGAAATTTATTTCAAATATTTACTGATATTAATGAATTCGCCGCTAGTTATGCAATATATATATATATATTTTTATACCAGTTGGCGTACGAGTACATACAATATATTTGATAGATTGCTATACAGACAACTGATCTACAAGTTGTATATTATTTCGTCCTCACTTATTAATCTCTAGTTTTAGTAATTATATACTAATTAATATTTTAAGTTACTAAACGTTCTTAGTTGCTATGTAACTTCGAATTCATTTTATATTACATTTTATTGTTGTAAAATATTCCAATAATATGAAATTGGGGTATTCGTGAGCAAAGTAAAAAAAATAATGGTATGAGATGTGAACTTGCATATATGTATGTATGGCAATATAGGCATTATTTTCAGTGAAAATTATTTGAGGCTGTACTAGTTTATGTGGTAACACAACATAACGGTGTCTGGAAGCATAATGAAAAATATCATTCACAATTATCTTTAAATCATTCATTCGTACGGGTATCACAGAGCTGACTCGGTCAATTAAATTAAAATTAATTACACTATTTAACTATATCAAAACAGCTCTTTCTATTTAAAGAGTATGTATAACCTAACATGAATCTTAATACATACATATTTTATAAAAGGATATTTCCTTAACCCCAATAAATTCTTCTTTTTTAATAACTTAATTCCCCTTCTTTAATGGTATAAAATAGCTTAATTTTAATATTTGTGTTACTTACATACATTCATTAAATTTATGGTTTATAATCTCCGACTTTGCCTCGTATAGGTTCGCCTCTACTGTAATATTTTGCATCGGTCATTGTAATATTGTGAATATTATCCAAATTTCAGGCATAATCAGTAATGTATTTGACTGAATTCCTTTACTTCTTCTATTTTTTCGTATGAATTTTAACTATTTTTAATTTTTGGAAAATTCCAATCATCTTTTGTCTTTCAATCAACTCTTTCAGTCATCTTGCATCTTTCCAATTTTCTTGCATTCTTCCATTTTTGTTGCATTCAATAATTTGTAGGGTTTATATCATATTACGATCCAAATAAATTCTTGTTAATACAAAGGAAAATATAATTTATGAATTAATTTAAATTTTTTTTCTAAAATTTTATGTAATAAAATAAATTTTATTTCTTGATATTAATTTTTATAATATGCTTATGAAAGGAAAAAAAGCCTACTAAAGTATTTGAAAAAAAAAATAAAAATTTCATTCCGAATAAATGCTTTGATCAACATATTTCCATAATGTTAAAAGGTCCTAAGGTTTTTTTGTAACAAATGAATTAAAATACAAAAATTGAGTCGATGAAAAAAATCCGTTGCTGGCATTTTGTAAATTATTACATCTCTCTTTAAAAATTTTAATTCTTTATTCAAATATTTTAAAGGTTACTGATGAAAACAATGTTGAATCAGGTATTGATATACAATCTATTATTATCGTATTATATTGCATATATTTAGGATGAATCTTAAAATATGAAACTTCATAACAAGTTGTGCCAATATAGTGACTAAATTTAGGACATACCTTCTGAAAAAAAGACGATTGCTGTTGCTTTCTTATTTTGCAAAATTTTTAATAACTTGAATGGTAAAGAAGGAGTGTAGAAAATTTAATCTAATATTCGGCTTTTACCTTGACAAATGAATATAGAAATTATTTTCGTCCATTTATTAAAAACGATATGATTGATCTTTTCATTTTAAATGATTGCTTCTCAATTAATATGATAATATACTACAAAACTTAAACAATTCTGTAGATTCTCGTGATCAATTGATTAACACGCCTTTTATTTTACCTTTAAACTATTAAAAACATTTCAACATCTGTTAAAAATAAAACTGTGATAAGATGTCAAGAAAATTTTGCAATTTTATATGCTTCAGCCTTAAGCCATATTTGATCATTCAAAAAATTAACGCGAAAAAATATCAACCAGCTAAGCTAATCTCCTAAAATAAAAGTTCATAATTGTCTATTCATAAGGCCTTAATACAAAAACGGTATATAACAATTAGAATGGAAAAACTTCGCTTGTAATAGATCTTGTACATTTTATTGCATTATGTAATTACCAATAAACATAAAAATTCCAGAACTGCACTATATTCATAATTTATTAGTATTATACACAATGAGTTCTATGTACACACACGAATGCATAATCATTATGACATACTTATATACACACATAATAATAAACAGTTCAATGTTCCCGTCTCAAATAAAAGTTTTGTCTTATTTAAAATAAATTTAAATAAGAATATTGAAAATTGCAATAAATATTAAGAGTAATGTATGTATGTATACATAAACTAATTCTCATACATACATTGTACAGATATTCTATAATAAAATTTGCTACATTTTAATTTTAAAATGCACATATAGTAAAAATAATTTACTCTTCACTCTTAAATTTCATTCATATTCTAAAATCTAGACATAATATTCTATATTTATATTTCAAATATTCTTTAATATTTTTATTCATCATTATTATATCATAATTACTATGCACTTACTCTATACTACAAACCATTATAAACTGTTATACATAATATTATAATACATACATACATATACATTTTTGTTCTATTTAGAAAATTCAAAATGATAATTTCATAAAGATTTATTATTATTGAAATGAATGTGCGAATATTATTCAACAACATTTCGTAACTGCAATTGCAGTAATTAGCACTCCGCTATATTGAGAAAGCAATATAATCGAGATAGTAACCGACAACTTTAATTTTTGTGCAATTTCACATGAGTATAATGTCTTTTATTACGGGTTAAATGCTAATTAATTTCATTGGATGTTACAGGGGACGGGGGAGTATAGTACTTATTCATGGCGGGTACACATTCACTATGCTCTTTATGATAAGAGTCCACAAAATTGCACTTCACCGTATAATTTTGTGGAGTAAATTTTTTTAATATTTGTAATGGATTCAATTTAGAATTTCGAAGTTTACTCTAATTCTTTGATTATCCGGATATGGAAGTCATTTATCTATAGGCTTTTTTAAGTATTAGAGAAATTTTAGAAGAAGATAAATATCTGAATAAAATAGGTAAGATATAAGAAAATTTTGAAGATATTTGTTCAGAGAAATTCTTAGAAGACCCTCTTACGATTTCTTCCGAACACGTTCAGACTGAATATTTGTTCCTCGTTCTCTATAAACATACATATATAAAATACATCTTTTCACACATTTTTATTTAAAATACCAAAAATTTCAATTTTTTTTCCGATATTATAAATATTACGCTATTTAATTCCGAATTTTCAAGCATTTTTCTGAGAACTCTAATGTTGCAAATTCAACATTGTATTTTGCTATGTATGTATAATAATATGTATAAAGTGTGTTTGTATTCTAAAAAGAATATTTTTCATTTTAATCGATAACATGCAAAAAGAGTAGTGTGATAGCATCAAATTTCACATGTTGGATTTTCAATGGAAATGTATTTTTGAATATTAGAAATGACATAAATAAATTATATTTAACAAAATGTCTGATCATTAGGTCTATCTGTTAGTCTACTACTACTGAACTCGGTAATCTCAATTTGCGCTCGCATAAATACTGCACTCATATAATCTCAATTTCGACTGAACTGGTTTTGATAAAAATTTTACAGTTTCTTTTTGAATTCACAAATTTTCGGGATATGTTATAAGTTTAGAACATAAATTCTGTCTGACAATATAATGAGCGAAGAAACTCTACTGCGAGAAATAAATAAATAAATTGTTAATAATGATCTCGTTCATTCATAGAACTAAATATTCAAAAAATTATGAAAAAAAATTAGATTCCAAAGATTGAAACTCTACTAAAAACTAAATGTATATATTTTTCAAGAAACGTTAGGTATAGAATTTTATCAATTTTTTTAAGCTTCAAATAGCTCTTTGAGACTAAATATCCCTTCTACACTACTGTGGTCTCTTATATTTTCCAGATTTTTGCAACCTATTCAAAATTTATTAAAAAATTCTAGGTATAAAGTGTATTACTTATATACAAATTTTTACAAATACATCATTGTTATACATACATACTTGTATGTATTCCAGTCAGTGATTATGTGCTGACCACATCAGATATATATTTTTTTCTCTTAAAATTCAACATTATTTTTTCACAAATTCTTGGAATTTTAATTTTTTTTTTTTTAAATATGCAAATATGCACATTATATTAATTTTTCTATATACAAATATAAAATAATTATAAAATGCATTTCTATACAAAATACATGTAAATACATACATACATACATATATACCCATAATTATGTGTCTGCATATTTTTCTCTCTATATATACATGCACGTAAATACTTACATACTTTTATTATAATATCCAGATCAAAAAATATTTTATTATAAATATTGCACATTATTGTATGTACATAATATGTTGGTACCCGAATATTTCAAATCAATAAAATTATTTGATATAGAATTTATTATTTATATGTATGTATGCACCTAACGTATATAATTTATAATTGTAACTTGCAATACTGCATTTTTTAATAAATTATACATTTATATTATGGATGTACAATTGTATATGCGTTGGTGAATTTAAAAGAACATACATATGATCATGTACAAATGCAAGAACGCATCTACTCTATAAACATGTATATTAAAAACACAAACATATAACATTATATTAAGTATAATATAAATATAAGTATGTATAACAGTAAATATTCGCCTATATTATATGTTCATTATAAGTGTAATATTAAAACAAAAACAACAAATTTTTCCATATCGTGGATATCAATTTACTATAAATATGTTGTGTGTAGCTTAAAACATAAGAAAAAAAAAAATAACAACAAAAAAAGTTAAATAAATAAGAAAAAGTAAAAACAAAAAATTCCTTTACAAAACAAAAAAACACTGAGAAAAAAACAAAACAAACATACAAACGAAAGAACAGCAAAAAAAAAGAAAAAAAAACAACAACAACAGCACACAATCTTCATTTTTAGTTCAATGAACTTTTCATTCATTCATAAAAATTTTTGTTCAGATTTAGTAATGTTGATTTGAAAATGTTTTCTTTTTCTCTTTGTTTTTTTCTCTTTCTTATTTTTTCAACATATAATAAAAATATTTTTATGCTATATGCTGTGCTGGCAGTGCTGGCACATAAAACACAAATACAAATTCAATATTGTGTTTTTCTTTTTCTATTTTATTCTTTAAAATGCAGACGAAAACTATTATACGTAGATAATATAACATTCATTCATTCATATACATACTAATATATATGTAAGTAATTATTATGTACGTGTTATACTTGTGCCCGGCCCGAAATACATACTGTACCTTTGCTATGTGTACGTACGGATCTCTTATAAAATTGTTATATAGACAATGCAATGTACATGATTATGTTGCATTTCTTTTATACTATAAAATATATCGGAAATATTGTTGTTATTGTATATGTTCCTGCATTATGCATGTATATGTAAAAAATTTTCAATTAAACGCGCAATGATCACTTCACTTGTTTAAATGTGTGAGTGTGTGGGTTAAATGTATAAATTTTTGTTATATATATATAATTATATTATATGTAAATATTTTTTTTATATATTATAAATGAATGCATTGAGTAAGAGAAATTCCATTCTTCAAGAAAAGAAAAATAAAATCAAAAAATATGAAAAAACGAATTCTTTTGCGGTAAATTCATGTGGTGAGACAAGTTTTCTTATATTTAAAATAAAAAGGAAGAAGAAAAATGAAAAAAAAAAATTAACCTTTTTGATAATTTTCTGTTCTCATTTTTTGGTTTTTTGTAACTTTAAAGTAAAATATTTATTTTTTTAAAAAGTTACTATTTCATATAGTGCTTGCTTCAACTAATGTATATATGTAGTTAGATACGTTTGGGTCTTGTATGTTTAAATAAGAATTTAACATTAACATTTTTTTTATTAATTTTAAAGAAGAGAACCTTTAAAATACTAGAGAAACTTTAAA